GGTTAGGGTGGATCAGGCTGGCAGGCAGGTGAGCAGTTAGGAGTCAGCAGTCCCAGGTTGTGAGAGGGATGTCCACCGAGGGGTCCTGGATTGGAGAGGGTGCAGGCTGGGCTGAAGGGACCTCCACCACCACCACCCCCATCCCCCCACACCCCCCGCCACCATACATAAATTTCATGCACCGGGCCTCTAGTACTTCACATAACAGGCCCCAGGCAGCACTGCTCCATAAAGACCCGATCCTGCAGCACCTTCTGAGCTGCTTCCTGCTCACAAGGACGTCCTCCTTGTGGTTCACTCTGCACAGACATGCTCATGCCCTGAGCCCTGTCGCCTGTCCTCTGGCTCCCAACTGGAGGGTACGTGCCTGCTTCTCTGAGACCCGCAAGGAATTCTCTTTGGGGTAGATACTGCCTGGCTCCTAGGGGCCGAGGGACGCAGGACGGGAATGGCATGCATTAACGCGGGCTTCGCACCGAACAATGCTACACGTGAGCAAAATTAGAGCTTTGCCTGAGGACAGAAGGAAAATCAATGATCGTGCAAACAGGCTGATGACATTTGAGTTAGTGACAAAGGACCCAGTTCATTAAAATCTTTCTCTATGGTTTTAATTAAATGCCTTATACTGTTACTTTTTAAATTGTGGCAAATTACACTGAAAGGAATTCTAGGGACAAAATAGGCTGATTTGGGGAATACACAGAGTGTCCATGGGCAAGGCATGCATATGTGAAAGATGGGCAATTAAAGTAATTAGAAGGTAGATCAAAAGCAGTCCTGCCCTGAGCAGCTTGGAGACACCAAAATGCTTATCTTACTCGTATAACGGACAGAAAAATGCCACAGGAGAAGGAGGGAGGAAGACATACGTTCACGGAGGATATAGAAAAGTCACAGGATAATGGAACGAAGGAAACATATTTTCACAGAGAACAGAGGAATGTTACAAGACAAGGGGAGAGGAAGAGGGGGCGCCACTGGGCTTTGGCCTTTGAAACTGATACTGTGTAACAAAGTGACCAATGAGGAAAGCATGGGGACCCTAAATTAATGAAAGGTCCAATTAGAGAGGGTCAGGTTCAAACAAAGAACTGCAACACATATAAACCGGAGAAAAGGGGCACGAGGAGGGATTTCTTTTTCCACTAGAGAAAGAGAGAGAGAGAGAGAGCAGGTTTTCCCATTTGGGGGCCCCTCCCTAAGGGGGGAGAGAGAGAGAGAGAGAGAGAGAGAGGGCAGGTTTTCCCATTTGGGGACCCCTCCCTAAGGGGATCCCCTTTGGGACACCTCTGCCCAGATGGAGTTTGTATATGCTTCCAATAAACTTCTACATTTTTATTAAAGAAATGTGTTAGTCCATGAATTTACTCTTCATCTTCATCAGACAAGAAGCCACAAGAAGTCTGTACCCGAAACCCATGTTTCAATACACAACAGAGAATGTTCCATGTTGACAAATGTATGGGATGTTTCATGAATTTGCATGTCACCCTTGTGCAGGCCCAGGCGCGTCTTCTCTATATCATTCCGGTTTTAGGACATATGTGGTCAAAGTGAGCACTATGCCAGCATTGCAATGAGGAATTACATGTTATAGGAAACATAAGAAGCCGAATTAAAGACTATACTATAGGGTCTACAATAACCAGTAATTCCATCTTCAAGCCACTGGTCTCAGAATCACCCAGGAAGATGTCAAAAAACACCAATTCCTACCAAAACCATCCAAATAAAAATCTCTGGGGTGGAAGCCTCAGCGTCTACATATTTTTCTGCTTTGATTTATTAAATTATACTATTGAATACACCAGTGCATTCTCGTTGTAGAAGGCGTCCCTGAGGCCACCACAGTGCCATTTCCTCGCCCCCCACAGGCTCTCCCTGCCTGGAGTTTGGCGTTGATCCTTCCTAACTGTATCTCAGCATCTACACGCACATGTAAGAACATACAGAAGTAAATGTGTGTGTTGTGGGTTTTCTTTCTTTGCACACTTTACAAATGGCATTGTAAGTCCTACCTTTTTAACGTGATGCTGTGTCTCACCCCTGAGCATGGGACATGTTTCCACATCAGTTCATGCTGAGCCACTTGACTCTCTTTATTGCTTGCAGGTGCTTATAGCTCATATGGGTGAGCATTGAAGTTGTTGTCAAGTTTTCTTATTACCGATACTGCCACAAAGAAAACCTTTCTATATAGCTCCTTGTACATACAAGTGAACCAACTCCTACAGTAGATAGACAGGTGGAATTGTTGTGTTAAAGGATCTATGCTTTTTAAATTTTAACAGTATTTCCCAAGTGTCCTCCCTTCAAACTGTGCCATCAAAAATACAATTATAGCTATTTCTCCACTCTCTGGCCAATAGTTTATATTAACAAACTTTTCAAAATTGTCCAATCTAATGGTCAAGAAATGATATCCTTGTTGTTGTTTTAATTTTTACAATTAACAGTGGGACTGAGTATCTCTTTGTATGTTTATGTGTGAAATACCAGTATATACCCTTTGACCATCCTTCTACTGGGTTTTTGTCATCCTATCTAATAAAAGACAAACAGGGTAATTAACCATACCTCCGCTACGCTTCCCATTGGCTAATCAGAGAGATATGCAAATTAACTGCCAACAAAGATGGCGGCCGGCAGCCATGCAGCTGAAGCGGGCAGGAAGTTTGCTTGCTCCAGTGATGGAGGAAGCCAAGGTTCCCCACCTGCCACCGCCCGGCTCTGAGCCCAAAAGCAACAATGTTTCAATTATAGAAGCTAAACAAACCCCAGATACCTGCTTTCATCCAGCCATGGCCTCAGAGC